TAAATAGGACTGCACGAGAGAGCCCAAGCTGAGCCAGCAGGGAGACTGATCCCAACTGGCTCAGCTGTTTTCCAGGTTTTGCCGATCTTCCCAGTAATCCCCAAATATATCCAGGATTCTTTCAGGATTTTATTTTTCAGTTTTCCCAAGAAATCCTGGATACCTCTGGGATGCCAAAATATACTCCAAAATATGACAAGGTGTTTTCTCGAGTATATTTTCAGCTTGGGTAGATCTGAATGCATACCCCTAGTGTTCAGAATGGCAGTGCCAACTTCAATTTAACAACCACCTTTCACAGTACTCTCCTTGGATATTTGTGGTCTGTTGGAAGCCACCCAAAATGAAAGGGTCTACAGAAGGAAAATGGCCAGGGAGTTAATTGCTCAGCTTCATGATACACGCAAGGAACATCATCATTCAATTATTCATGCTAGAGTATTACTTCTGCCAAGAATGCTGGAGTGATATATATTTATAGATTCCACTGGATATAGACAGACCATACGGGGGTGTTACAAGACGTTTACTTGGGGAGACATGGACTGGCTTACTGGGCAATCTTACATTAGGCACTCCCTCTCAGTCTTATGTACCATATAGGGCTGTTGTGAGGTTAAGGTCACCACACCTTAAAAAGGATATTATAGCATTGGGAAAAGTGCAGAAAAGGGCAACTCGAATGATAAAAGGGTTGGAACACTTTCCCTATGAGGAAAGGTTAAGGCGCTTAGGGCTCTTTAGCTTGGAGAAACGACGACTGAGGGGTGACATGATTGAGGTTTATAAGATTATGCATGGGAAAGAGCAGGTAGAGAAAGAGGTACTTTTCTCCCTTTCTCACGATACAAGAACTCGTGGGCACTCCATGAAATTGCTGAGCGGTCGGGTTAGAACGGATAAAAGGAAGTACTTCTTCACCCAAAGAGTGATTAACCCTTGGAATTCACTGCCACAGGAAGTGGTGGCGGCTACAAGCATGGACGACTTCAAAAGGGAATTAGATAAGCATATGGAGCAGAGGTCCATCAGTGGCTATTAGCCACAAGGTATAGATAGGGACTCTGGGGCAAGTGATGCTCTGTCTTCTTGGTGCTTGGGGGGGTCAACAGTGGGAGGGCTTCTAGTTTCCTGGCCCCACTGGTGGACCTCCTGATGGCACTGGTATTTCTGGCCACCGTGTGACACAGAGTGTTGGACTGGATGGGCCTTTGGCCTGATCCAACATTGGCATCTCTTATGTTCTTATGTTCTTAAAGTGTCTGTGGGTGAGTTCAGATGCGCCGTTTGATCTGGTGTCGTGACAGTTCAGCAACAGATTCTATATGCACGATCACACAGTCAACATCTGCCTCCCGTCCCCGGCCGTCGGTTTCCGCCTCAAAACCGCTTTAGCCCATCTATAATTGGTATGATAATTACAGACTATTCGTTTATTAGAAAGTATATACTCGATTGAGGTAGAGTTGGATGGTTACTCAATATAATATAATATACAAGAATAGAGATTAAGGTGGATTAGGCATAAGCATAACGTTTAAAAAGAATAATAACCCCCATATATGTGTGTATGTATGTTTATATGTTTATTTTGTGTTCGTTTATGCAAAACATGTGAAAATCTCAATAAAATTCTGCCTTTCGGGGCAGTTTAAAAAAAACACAAAACCGCTTTAACCTGGAGTATTTTGTTACCGAGTCCCAAAGTGGTGTTTTTTTCCAGCTCTCCCATTTAAAGCCACATCCCCCCCCCTTTGTGATCACTCCTCCGGTGTCAAGCCACTTCCGGTTTAAACCCCCTCTCCCCCGCTCGAAAGCTGCCCGAGGCTTCAGGTTTTCACCCGCCTTTTTTTTTAGCGTCGGCCAGTGTGCACACAGGCGGAGCTCCGCTACCGTGTTTAGAAAACCGACATTTAAACGGTCATTTGTTTTAGAGTTTAGGTGAGTTCGGGATCTCACGGAGGCCATTTTCGGGTCAAATGTTTCGAGAGAAGTCTTTTGTTGGAGGGGTTGAATTGATTTGCCCTGGTGGTTCTGCGAATGCGCCATGGTAGTTTCGCTCCCCCCCCATTCTACAGTTGAGCGGCTATGCGCATGCGCAAACTGAGAAGAAGAAGAAAACGCTGACACACGCTCCTGTGCGTCAGTAGTGTAGACGCCAGGGAGCGCTGCGACTGCAAGGTGAGGCGGGATAAGGGAGGTAAGTGTGATCGTGATTATCCAGATCAAATATAATCTGGTCAGAACCGGAGCAGTTTAACCCACTCTCAGCACGCTGTCTGACTGCACCCTGTGTGTGAAACCCAGGCATGCTTACCTGAGCTATGCAAGGGAAGGAGGGAATAAAATATCATCTATAAAATAGTATTGTGACATTTCTGTTAAGCTGTGCAATTTAGCAGTACTTGAATACTGGAAGCTGCTAATAAACTACTCTTCCTATTGCCGAACTAGAAATCGGTTCTTTTAATTAGGTGGGTTTTTTTTAATTAGCTTTCCCTAGCTAATGCAACCACTGCCAGCCTGTTCCAAGGTATATCTCAAACACACATCTGGAGGAACTAAAAAGGCAGCATTATATGAAGGCAAGTCCATTTCAAAGTTTGTTGATTTTTGAAACTATAAATCTTTAAAATGGTTTCAAAAGGTAATTTTCCTAAAAGCTACCAGAGGAAGCTTCCACTCTCAAAACACTAAAATTGATATGAGCTGCGCAGATGGCACATTAAAATCCAGCACAATTTCCTGTCAGTGGAAAATGAGGTACTCCTTATTGTGTTTTGCATCTTCCCCCCTCTTAAAAATCCTACCAAGTAATAACAAGCTCAGTAGAATTTAAGCTATTTTAATAAGGAGAGTCAGTGACTACTTCTGAATACTAGCAGTAGTCAAGTGACTACTCTTGAATACTTTTGAATACTTACAGGAGGCACAATAATCACAAATGAAAGAAAATATTTACTTGGATTTCAGATCTAGTATATACCACCTGCCCTGTCCTGCCCAGACTAGATTGATCTTGGAAAGCTAAGTAGGGTTGGGCCCTGGTTAGTACCTGGGATGGGAGCCCACCAAGGACGTCCAGGGTCACCATGCACAGGCAGGCAACGGCAAACTACCTCTGAATGCCTCTTGCCTAGAAAACCCTACGGGGTTGCGGTAAGTTGGCTCTGACTTGATGGCGAAAAAAGGTACAACCTGCTATTGGATACTGCATTAAACCTTAGTGCTAGAAAGTTTTAGCCGTATATAATTCTATATATTGTATATTAGGCCTGAATTTTGTATACAGCATCCTGAATGACATAGGAATGATCTCAGAAACTATCACTATAGAATAACAGTATCAATTACAACTTATTGTTTTATACTGGGCTAAACCGTACATTGACCTGAATATCTGCAAGCACAAGGCAGGTATTGGGGATCATATAAAGGCTGTCCAAAGAAACCTGAGTTGAGCTTGGACATAAAAGGGACAAGTCAGGGAGTAACTGAATCTCTTGAGGAGATATGGGATTTATACTTTAAAGGAATGAAACATACTTAGGAGACATACAACCTCCTCATTTGTCCCAGAGGGAAAGTAACCTCAAACATCAGAGATACACATCTAATTGAACTAGTTTTCCTCTCAGTATTTGCCACAATTGCAGACAAGCAGTATACAGTTTGAAAAGCCTAAGGGGAAACTGGTGGACTGTTTTTACAGTTTTGACTACCTTCCGTGGGCGGAAGGGCTCCTCCACTTGGCCAAGGGGGGGCACCATCATCCCCTTCCTGTGGCAGACTCCCCTGCCACAGCTGCTATTTGTACCAACAGCCTCCCAAACCCCAAAGATATGTTGGTGGTGGGGGGGGGGGGGGGGGGCTGCAGCAAGAATGGGGAAGAGGGAAAGTGTTCTTCAGCAAGAGAAACTCTTTTAGTGGTCCCTGGGACCCCACCTTGTAGTGGTGAGCAATAAGAAGTTTTCTGATAGGTCAGAATGGCTTGCGACTCTGGAGACTGCCATCTTCCCCGACAAGAGGGGTTTCACCACTGTGGAGCCTGGGGGGACCATGGTGCTCACCAACACATTTCCTGGCACCTGCTGGGTGAGGTGGGCCTTTTGCCCAGAAGGCCTCTGATTGGCCACTGGCGATTTGACAGGCTGTACAGATTTCTGAAAACAATGCTTTGGCGGCAGCTGCCACCACAGCACAAGGAGCTTCACTATGAGACCGAAGGCCAGGTGAGGCAGCCATCTCGTGGCTGCAGCCATCATGCTGCGTCGGATTCCCAAAGGTGCCTGCAGGCTCAAAAACGTTGGGAGACCTCCGCTCTATAACACGCAGCATGACTCATCAACTGTGTGTACTATTCAGAAGTACCCTGTTGCGTCAAATAATGCAGGCTACATTATTGTGCACCGGCACAAGACGGCAGAAGGGAGAACCCCAAGAACTTCCAGCTTCAGTATCTTTCCTTTCCAGATACAATCATGCGAATAGTCTGCCTAACAGAGTTTTTGATTTTTAAAAAACCCTGCAGCATGGTGAGCTGTTTATGGAGCTGTGGGGACACGATGCAGTTTTATAAGCCCCTTGGATGCAGTGGGGAAAAGACTACCATCATTAACTCTCCCCAAAGAGTATATACAGAAACCCTGGGTTTGTTAAACCGACAGAATCACACACCTAATTTAAAAAACAAGAAACAAAAAGTTCATCCAAATACACATTTAGAGCAACCCTGCAGTGATCAACATGCATATGTATGGGGCTAAATGGTAAAGAACGAAAAACACTGCACATTTTATGCACGCACAATGCAATGTTTCAGTATAACACACATGGGGGGGGGGCCCTGTTATGTCTGCTTAAAAAAATGGGAATCTAGTCGAAGAACCCAAGTATCATGGGAAAGCTTCAGTTTAGAGACATGTATGCATATTTTATTACAAGCACAGATACATTAAACATTACATGTATGAAGACAATCTTAAAGACAGGTGCATTACCTATATTTGGATGATTTAAAATCTTCATTATCCTTACTTCCCTGAACAGCTAGAACAGAACAAACAAACACAAGAGTTAATGATAAAACTGCCTGACTAGCAATGATGTTTTCTTCCTGTCTCTCTTTGTCTGTCTTTCTTTAATTGGGCTTGTAATCACATTCCAGTAGCTTGGGAGCGACACTGCTATATCTGAAAAGGGTTTGAAGAAGAGTAAGCCCCCACCCCCAAAAAAGCCACAAACATTGGAGTCAAGGTTTTTAAAAGCATATGCTAAAGAGTCACTTCCGAAAAATGGTCTAGGTTTTGCAGGGCTTTTAAAATCTGAACTCTAGAAATACTTTTTAGCACTTCAAGAGCCAGGGGACGAGCATTCCAGCAATCATTACGCAGTCTGATAGGTACCTGGAGTCTATCCAGTTCTAGGTCAAAATCAAATGTTTATCTCAAAAATTACACAACAATCTTTTGGGATATGGCCAACCAGTAGGCTCCAGTTTTACACAAGAGGGGGAGAGGAGGAAATTCTTGCTCTGTAATTTTCTAACACTGAAGAAATGAGGTGCAGATACAGAAGAATGGTAGTCTGCATTGCTGCACTGAAACGGCCAACATGATGCAACATCAGTTTCTTCGGTGAAAACTGCACACATCCAGGGCCAGATCCAAACTTCTACTTGCGCCACAGCACTTGCGCAGCGGTAGCACAAGTAAGACACTGCAGTAGACACTTCTGCTAAGTGGGAGGGCTCCTAGTGTCCTGGCCCCACTGCTGGACCTCCTGATGGCACCTGGTATTTTTGGCCACTGTGTGACAGAGTGTTGGACTAGATGGGCCACTGGCCTGATCCAACACTGGCTTCTCTTATGTTCTTATGAACTATGCTAAGTAGATTTCTTTTTTGCCACTTGGATCCAACCTCTAGTGTAGTCCTGTCTTTCTAATAAAGACAATGCCTGTCAACGACTGATTTGCTTTTACTCTCTGCACCTGAAGCACAATTCCTTCTTCAACCTCCATTTAACTGCTAATTTACATAGTGCAATCAAACTGTACAGGACACCATGAATTTAACAATGTACCTCGAGATTCCAAACAATAAACTGATCTTCCAGATCACAATGGAAACGAAGAACAGTGTTAAGGGACAGCAGCAGGCCCATTCAAGCAGTCAGCTGCACAGAAAAGGCCCAGAACATACAAGGACCGTAAGGCAGTTTGAGAAATTAAATGGACTTGGAGTTTGTGGTGGCATTTAGGGAAGAACAAAGCATTTACTGGGAGAAGGTTTACCTGTTTAGGCACCTGCCCCATCTGTTTGCAAGATCAGTGGTAGCCGGCCACTTAAGGAGCAAGGTAACGCTCATTATAACAGATTCTGAAACTTCTTTGGGATTTTACAATATACCAAGAAGGAACAAGGAACCCGGGGGGGGGGGCTCCCTCCCATGCTTCAGGATGCCAAATATAACAGATGTCAAATTATTCAGGGTTTTTGTTCCTTGAGGCAATGAGTTTGTATTGGCTGGAGGCTGACTGACTCAGTCTTCAAGTTATCTTAGAAGATGTTATCCGAATGACCTGTACAATAAAAGCTGTCTTATCTAGCATTTGATTAACCAGAATTCTCTGTTCATCAGCACTGCCCAGAAGGCAAGCTGTTGCCCCTTGGGCACCGTATGTTCAGGCACACACATGCCCCACCTTTGCCTCTCCAGCAGGCCAGCTTGATGTCTCCAGCCATTGCTGGCTTCTGACCGCCAGTGGCTGGCACCTGACACCCTCCTCAGGTGCCGCCTCCTCCTTCAGTCTGCCTTGAGCTGTTGGGAGCAAGCTCTGCCAGAAAACTCCCAGGCAGTTGGCTCATTTGTCTGCTGGGTGCTGGAGATTTTTTTTTTAGGGGGGGGGGGGTTCTGACAGGCATGGGTGTTTTTGCTATGGCATTTCCAGTGGGGTGGGGCTCAGTGAGAGCAAATTGCTTTGGGAAGAGCAGAAATGTGTATCCAGCAAAACTGATGAACTGGTAGCCCCCATTCCCCATGAGTGCCAGATAAAGCTTTTGCTGTAGTATCATCAGCATCCACTGCACAAGATGAGCACAGTTTCCTCCATAAGTTTCCAAGAGGTAGTATCTGTGACAGTATTTATGTTGACCATGTTCTTCTAGTCCGAGCTTGATTTCATTGAATGTTTCCAACTTTATTTGGCATTTTTCAAATATGCAATTCCTATTTTGCTTTTACTTAAGGAATGCATTTTAGAGGCTGTAAAAAAATTGCATTTCCTACTTTTACAGATGCTCTAAAATAATCCAGCTACTCTGTTTCCTGATTAAGTGCCATGGTTCAGCTTTATTCAGCTCCAGTTTCTTAACATGCTCCCTTCATCCCTACATCTTTACCTTGCATCTGTAACAGATTGAAAATGACCGGATTTAGGAAACCCTCTGTTTAGCAACAATTTGTCATGACATTTTCGTTCAGACACTTCTTCAACAAGCCAGGACTCCAAACCATGCTTTAGAATCTCGGTTCGTGGGCAAGAAACCAACCCCAATTTGCTGAAGCGCCTGAATGCAGACATCATGACAATTTGCAATTAAAGACTTCCTGCTTCAGGGAAATGTCTATTAATCTTGGTTCCATATGGAGCCACTCCATAAAGGAGGAATGTCCAAGAATAAACCAGGCTCATTCTCATCACGAACTACAGTTTGCTTGTTCGGTCTAAGTACGGCTCACATGATAAATCAGACTGCGAGGTTAAATGATGACTTTCTACTCTTCTGTGTAAAACGTGAAACTCTATAGCACTGTGGGTTGGATCCCATGGCCATCTCCTCTTGGGCAAGACAAAACCCAACCGCAAACAGCCAAGTCACCAAGTCACCTTGACTGTATCCCGTCTTGCACTGCTGCTTCTGCAAGACACTGTGCATGACATATCTCGGCATCCTGTCCCCCAGGCAATAACCTCTTCATGCATCTGAACTGGAAAGGTATGACTGCATCAAATGGCCCTTTTACATACATCCAGTCAGCAACACTAAGGTAAAGGTAAAGGTTCCCTTGCTCGAAAGCCAGTCGAGTCCGACTCTGGGGTTGCAGTATTCATCTCCGTTTCAAAGCCGAAGAGCCAGCACTGTCCAAAGACGTTTCCGTGGTCATATGGACGGCATGACTAAATGCCAAGGTTCACGGAATGCTGTTACCTTCCCACCGAAGTGGTATCTATCTACCTGCAATTTCTTGCTTTCGAACTGCTAGGTTGGCAGGAGCTGGAACTAGAGACGGGAGCTCACCCCGTCATGCGGCAACTCGGGTCTTGAACTGCTGAACTACCGACCTTCCACACCCTGCAGTTCAGCGTCTTAACCACTTGAGCCACCGCAGCTCCTCGGCAACACTAACAGGAAATCAAAAAATCAGCACTTGGTTTTACGGTAGCTCCTGGACAATGTCTTGCACTAAACTGTGTTATGTAAAATTTCTCTTCCGCTAATGGACGGCAAGACCCAACCCACCTCTGCTGCTAGATTATATTTTCGATATCAAATGCACACTGAATTGGCAACGCTGAATCCCACCGTGAAAGATTTTTTACAGTCCTCTGGTCACCAGCTAAGAAAATCTTTCATTACAATGTAGATAAATCAGGCACGTGAAGCTTAGGGAGTACAGCTGAGACAGGGAGGGGGTAAGGGTGGATGCCTGGTCTTAAAAGGCTTTTCAAGCATACAAAGTCTCTGGTTCCTAGGAAGTGCAGAACCCTGTAATCCTCTGCAAAGCTGCATTTTGCTCTCACATCCTTTCAAGTTACGCAGGACTCCAGATGGCTGGCAGTCTCAGCCACTCCCTTGATTATTTTCTAAGAGCTGCTCTTAACACAGGAGGAGACACAGCGACTCTGATTTAAACACAGCTATACTATCCTCGCAAGTGCAATATACTAAACTAGCTGACCATTGTTTCAACAGTAGGATAGAGAGGAGCGGTCTATAGCAGGGGTCCCCATGTGGGGCCCGTGGGCGTCACAATGCCTGCCGACACCTTCTTTGGTGTCCGCCAAGTGTTTTTGGGAAGGGGGTGGGGCCAAGTAGGGCTTTTACCCAACAAGGCTTCTGATTGACTACTGGAGATTTGATTGGCTGTGCAGATTTTTTTTAATGTCGTTTTAGCAGCAGCTGCCACCACAGTACAAGGATCTGCACTGTGTTGCTGAAATTAAGCTGTGGCGACTGTTTTGTGGCTGGCTTTGCTTCCTGGGGCAGCCATTCTGTGGCAGCCATCTCATTGCTGCCACCCACCTTGTGGTGTCAAAATTCCAAATGTGTACACGGGCTCAAAAAAGTTCTGGTTCCCCTGGTCTATAGTATTTGAAACAGTGTTTGCTTAAAGAAGTGCAGAACAAGAATTTCATAAGAGTGGAGCGACAAGTCTGGCATCACAGAACGCTTCTGAACAGCTGGTGAGCGGAAGGGCAGGATGAGTGATTCCCAGCGGTGAGCAGGGTGGCAGAGCAATTTTCCATCCCTCTACTAGTTTTTTCCTCCTTCCAGGATTTCAGATTTTTATCTCCTGCCTCTTAGGGGAAATTTGCCGAAGGAAGAAGATTGCAAGGAAAAGCGCCAGGAGGGGAAAGGGTTAAGGTCTCAGATACTTTTCAGCTGTTTGGTTGCAATTTGAGTTCTCCAACCTTCTGCTAAGCTCCGGCCTAAGCCAGTGATCTCAGTATTTGTTATTTTTGTAGGTTATGCCCACACGACAAAATAGTGGAAGGCACTGGGTATTTTATTCAGTTTACGCAGCAGTTCAGAGTAAGATAAGACTCACAAATGCTGTGTTTCAGCCCTTTCGTATACACTGCATTATGTTTCTAGTTCAAATTTGGATTTTCCCCCAATGACACCTCATGATTCTCACCACAATTATGACCAGTAAGGAAGTGACCATTACGGAATATGCACTCTCCTCAATATAAAGCATTCACTGTTTCAATAAACCCGAACAGAACTGACAGAAGAGAAGACCATCAGGGAAAATAAACTAGCAAACCTGGATGAATGAACTTCCGAAATGGACCTACCTTCTGTAGACTAGTCGGATTCAACTGAGTTTTGTCAATTATCTTTATTGCAACCTAGAAGGGGGGAACGTTTGCAATTAATATGAGTTTCTGGATACAGTTTGTTCAAGTTACAAACCAGAGAACAGAGCAAGCACTTAACAAAACACAACTGAGTTAGGAATGACCTACAGAATTAGAATGCGTAACAACAACTACATCTGGCATCCTTGGAAAACTCAAAAAATTGTATATTGCCAGGTCCAAAACAGCAACAGTCATATTATAGTCGGAACTGCTTTTGGAACTGTAGTTCTCCATCCATGAGAGTTATCCCAGGTAAATTCTGTCCGAGCAAGTTAAAAGGTGTACCCCTTCATGTGTCTCAAGGCTAACCAACAACTTAATATGTAGGTGACCAGCACCCTAGAAAACACAGACACTGATAAGAAACCAAATATCTGAATTGGCCACACAAAAACTGGACTGCAGACTAACTCGGGGTCCACCCCACCAATGAGATCTGAAATAGGTTCCCACTCAAAGTCAGATGTAAAATTATTAAACATATGAGAGAATCACCCATGTCAAGATGCCCTCCCTTCCTCAGAGCAGAACTTCACAGTAACTGCTGATGTTCCTTTCTCTTTGCAGAAGTCATGCTGCCTCTTTCTCAGTAATTCCCATCAGTCCATCAAGGAGGCAGGACTAAAATTCTTCCAGTCTGCCTGTCTCCTGGGTGGACTTGCCCACCTTCCTCAGTTTGGTAACTCCCGAAGCAGTATCTTTATTAAAATACTAACTGTGCAATCCCAAGAACACTTTCCTAGGAGTCAGCCCCACTGAATAGACCTGAGTAGGATTCTCAGTAGACCTGCGTAGGGTTGCTCTCTAAGTAAATAATTCAACACACTAGGAAACAGGAAATGCAGGACAGGAAACAAGAAGGCATTAATATGGAGAAGACAGCTTGTTATCCCCCCCCCATTCAAATCAGGGTGGGACAAGATGCCCTCCCTTCCTCAGAGCAGAAGGAACCTTCATGGTAAGTGCCAGTGTTCCTTTCTCACTCTGAGGAGGAGGGCATCTTGACATGGGACATCCGAAATCCATTGTATCCCATGTCAGGTGGGAAAACCAGTCCACCTGCACCACTTGCTGTAATACCCTCCTTCTGAAAGCTCTGTCAGCTGAGCAAGGATATTCATTTTGTGGGGCCTGGTGAAAGTCGATAGAGATAACCATGTGGCCACCTTAAGATTTCCTCAATGGAAGCTTCAGCAGCCAATGCTGTGTTAGTTGTACCACTATGAATGGAGAACAAAGTCTGAGCCCAGTGGCACCTTTGAGACAAACGAAATTTTATTCAGGTTATAAGCTTTTGTGTGAATGCACACTTCTTCAGATAAGAATGGGGTGAACTATGACTCCAGGTGGTACCTGGAGCTTGCTAGCTTGCCTCAGATGTATTACCTCTCTAGACATTTCCTGTCCTTTGTTAGGTGAATTTTTATGAGTTGATGCTGTGTGCCTGATGTAGATCCTTAGGGCTCTGAAGATCTAGCATGTGCTACTTCATTTCCTTGGGGTGGAATGGTTTTGGACAGAACGAAGGAAATGATATTTCCTGGGGAGCAGTAGAAGCAAGTATTGACCTTTGGACTGACGGTTGGACCCATTCGTGGAATCGCTTGTACTTGTGCAAAGCACAGAGACTTTTCTGGGTAGATAAAGCTCCTGATTCTAAGACCCTTCTGGCTGGTCACAGACCTCCATTCTCAACCATTTTAGCATAGCTTCTTTCAGAGGTTCAAACAGAGGTTGAGTATGTGCTGACAGGACTATGTGTAGATACCAAGAAGGAAATCTATGGACAATTTGGGGGGGGGGGGGGCTGTGACATGGGCTACTCCTTTGAGAAATCTGACTATGTGAGAATGTCTAGATACAGAGCATCCATCAACTCTGGGACCACTGTAACCAGAGCGGCCACTTGTCTGTGTAACATATTTCGGTTGACCCCATTTGCAGGAACTCCAGGGTTCAGTGTAACACAGGGGAGAATGGGTCTAGGTGCTTCCATTTGCATCACCTGGCACATGCCTTCCATGAAGAGTCATAAATTCTTGATGTAGAAACTCTTCTACAGACTAGCATGATATTTGTGATCCTCGCAGGACAGCATGGTCTTTAGTGCCTTTCCCTTCCAATTTCCATGCAATCTGTCGTAACCATGGTGGGCCTGGGCACCACTATGGCCCTTGCTGAAACATGTCCAGACCCACTGGAATCTGCCAAGGATTTTCTACTGATTGTAACCATGGTGGGCCTGGGTGCCACTATGGCCCTTGCTGAAGCATGTCCAGACCCACTGGAATCTGCCAAGAATTTTCTACTGATGACTCCACTAATGCTGAAAACCAGGGCCTTAGCAGCCAACTGAAGGCTATGCAGATCAGGGTTACTTTTTCTTGTCTCAGTCTCCTCAGCATCTTTGGTATTAGCGGAACAGGTAGAAAGGCTTAAAGCATGCCCAATGGCCAGGGGGGACATTAGAGAATCTGTTTGCTCTGCTTCCCCCCCATCTGGAACCTTAAGAACTCGGGCACAGATATTCAGGTCTGAGTCAAAGTGGTTCACAACTGGGTTGCAGAAGTGTTTCACAATCTGTGGGAAGATCTCCATCTTGATAGATCACTTGTTGTTCACCAGTTGTCTCCATAGCCAGTCCACTAGCCCATTTTGCTGGCACGAGTGTTCTGAAAAGGACTCGAGGTTCCGTTCTGAACAGCACATGATTTGTGGTGTCTCTGTGTGCAGGGTCGAAGACTTGGGCCCACCCTGTATGTTTATGTAGGCTTTCAACAAGATATTGTCTCTTCTTATTGAGACATGATTGTTTCTGATCCCATCCCAGAACCTGACTAGAGCCAGTCTGATTGCCCTGATCTCAGGAAGGTTGATCCTCATTTTCCTCTCTACACTGTTCCAGGTCCCTTGTGCAGGTCTTCCCTGACAGGTTACCCCCCAGCCTGTCAGGCACACATCTGTAAATACCTGGATTACTTTATTTATTCCTTGCCCTTGGCCAGATTGGACCATGGGGTCCCACCATGCCAGGCCCTGTCAAAGAGGGCAGGTAAGAACTAAAGGAATGTCTGTGTTCTGATGGATCTGGAGCTGGAAAAATCTCAGGAACCACTGCAGAGGACAGAAGTGAAAACTCACCCAAGGAACCCGAGTGCAGGCAAGCAATTATTAGGCCTTGAAGTCTTGCCAGAGCCACCATGCCAGGCCCTGTCATAGAGGGCAGGTAAGAACTAAAGGAATATCTGTCTTCTGATGGATCTGCAGCTGGAAAAATCTCAGGACAGGACATTGCAGAGGACATTAGTGAAAACTCACTCAAGGAACCCGAGTGCAGGCAAGACATTATTAGGCCTTGAAGTCTTGCCAGAGCCATTAGTGATGATGACCTGGAATTTATCAGCTGTCATGCCATGCCTGAGATGTTCTGGATCATCTCTGGCAGGCACAGCCTGTTTACAGGGAAATCTACTGTGATTCCCAGGTGTTGTATCTGCTGTGGAAGAACTAGATTGCTCTTGGCTGAATTGATAAGGAACACATGCCAGGCTAGGCACTGAGTGGTGGACAGAATGTCTGTGTGTGTGCTTGTATCAGGTTTGGAGATCTGATCAATAGGTCATCCATGAGCGGATGAACATGGATTCCCTGATGAAGAAGAGCTACCAAGGTCACCATCATACTGGAGAATCCCCTTGGGGCTGGAGCTAGCCCTAACTGCAGGACTTTGAACTGGTATCATATCTTGTAGGCAAATCTCACCTGTGATGAGATGGAAGAATGGGAATATGGAGATATGCCACATGAGGTCTATGGAAGCCATGACATCTTATAGGCAAAGCACTTCCATGATAGATCTGAGTGTCCCTATCCTGAAGTGCTTGTGGACCACGAATATGTTAAAAGCCAGTTTGGTATAGTGGTTAAGTGCAAGTTTGATTCCCTACTCCTCCACTTGTAGCTGCTGGATGACCATGGGCAAGCCATAGTTCTGTCAGAGCTGTTCTTGAAAAAGCAGTTCTCGAAAGTATGGTTAGGCAAAGAATAACACTTTTTTTGTTGTTGCTAAACCCAAGTTCTGTACATTAAAAAGAGGATCTGGCCAGTCCTCTTTCATTTGGCTCTCAAAGAATTATGGGAGCCACACTACTTTTTCACACACACTATGCAATCTTGGGGGGGGGGGGAATTGCTCTGCAGTTCCATTTCTCTTGGGGAATGAGAAGATAATCGAGTAAACCCCAATAATGCTTCACAGTCAGGAACCTGTTCTGTGGCCCCAATGTTCAGTAAGTGACAAATGGCTTCCACGGTCACCAGGTTTTCTCCCTCTGCTTGAATTCTGAAGACAGAAGAACCTGCCCGGTGGGAAACATTTCAATTCTATTGCATATCCCATTTTTATTATGTCCATTACTCATAGGTCTATGTTGGACTGACTCCACTGAGGAAGGAAACGGGCTAATCTTCCTCCCACTTGTGGGGAATTGGTGCCATGCTCTCTTTTATTGGGACTTATTTCCGTTATTGGAATTAAAGAGCTGATGTTGGTTTTTTTGTTTTTGTTTTTAATATTTATATGCCCCAGAAAGCACTACAGTCAGGGTCACAAAATCGATTGGCCCTCCCAGGTCCCAAGGACGCCAGGCTAGTTGTAAGCAGGGCCAGAACTTTCTCGGTGACAGCTCCATACTGGTGGTATGAGCTCCCAGAAGATATCAGGGCCCTGTGGGACCTTTTACAGTTCCGCAGGGCCTGCAAGACAGAGCTCTTCCACCAGGCTTTCAACTAGGAGCTGCCTCCACTATTAACAACTGCAACAGGCTGTAGAGCCTGGTGCCTGGTCGGTTATCAATAGCCTAGATGCGCCAACTACACCTGAGGAAGATCAGTGAGCTGGAACTTAAACAACTATGGAATGCAATCACGCGGTAACGCCATCATTACAACACCAAGCAACAAAGCTAGCACTTTAATGTTTTATGAAC